AACGGGGGGGCAGGGTGGGGGACGTGAGGGAGAAAGGTTGTGGGATATGGGGGTGGGGGAAGGGGGGAATGTGTGGGATATGGGGGGGGCAGTGGGGTGAGGCCAGGCCCCCCCTCGCACTCGGCAGCCGAGTTAATAAGACCTCCCCAAAACTGAGGCCTTTACCAGGCCAGCCAGACTCCCCTGTTGGACCTGCTGTTCTGGGGCCGGGCAGGCGTTCCCTTCCTGGACCGGCTGCCTCAGCTCTCATTGGAGGCCGGAGGGAGGTGGCAGCGCAGCAGAAAGCTCACCTGCCTCTATCCCAGCAGCATCACAAGAGGGATCCCCCTCGGATCCTCGCTTGTTTCCGGACGCTTACGGCTAGGTCGCTCTTCCACTGCAGAAGAGACACATGGCTGCCTGATGTGGACTCAGAGGCCTTTGGAGCTGCCAGTCCGCAGCCCTGCCCCGATGAGGAGGCCACGAAGGCCACCTCCTAGAGTACTTGGGCAAATGAGATACAGAGCAGGGATGAGAATAACGGCACAGATTCAGAACGAGTGTAGCCACGTGGGGCACCAAGCAGAGCGCGCTGCATAGCACCCGCTGGCCCTCGAACACGTCTGAGCAGCCAGCGGAAGCTGCCCAGAGACGTAAATGGACCAGGGCCAGGAAAGCAGCCCCGCAATCCCTGGGGGTCTACCGCAGCCAGAGCCTAGTCAGGTAGACTAGGAGGAGGTGGATCAGGAGGTCCCAGGACTTGGTCCCTTGGGGCTGTGGATGGGGAGAGCATACACAAACAGGTGTGGGGAGTAGGGCAGCCAGAACCTTGACAGGATGTCCAGGCTAGGCAGTGAAGGGGCTGCAGCCTGGTGCACTCCAGGTAGGGGGGCACCAAGGTTTCCCTTTTCTGGGGGAAGGGGCAGGTGTCAGGGGAGTCCACGAACTGCGCCAGATTTATGGAGCTGCCACTGCGGTGTGTAAGAGCCTAGCACTCATAGGCTAGATGAACCATGGGTCGGACCCAGGGCTTGGGCCCTGCTACGCATTCAAAGGAAAGCTGGGTAGAAACCAGCGATAAGAGTTATTACACATTCTCAAGCACTCACTTGATAGCTAGTTGGCTCTTTTTATAGCTAGACAGGCATCTTTATCATGTGATCATGACCTCACACATGTGGTTCATCTCAGTGTATTGCACAGTTTACCAGTTCATTACATAATATATGCGAACCATAGAAGAGACCTTTGGTGCACCAGGATCACAGCCATAGGCCCATCAAGAACCGGTTACCCCCTCTGTTCATACAGGGGACTATTAAGTGGGCCTTGACAGATGTGTTGGGACAGCTAAAGCAGTTACAGGGACAGGAGTGGGTTGTTGAAGACAGGACTATTTGATGTGCCCAAGGGGCCATGGGTTTAGGCCAAACTATAATCCTCCCTTAAAGAGAGGCCGGGGGGGACACATTGACTAAATACAGGGGACAAATAACAAGAAAACAGGGAAGGGAGCAAGGTTCATGGGCTAACAACAAGGAATCTGGAAGGGGCACGCTGGACAGCACCCACTGCCCCCCACCTGAATGAATTAAAGGAGCCTGTGGATGCCAGCCAGTGAAATTGCCCAGAGAGGATCCTAGGCTAGATGAACCATTGGTCTGATGCAGTATAGCTCTGCTTATGTTCTTCTGTTTAAGGCCAGGAAGCTGGACAGCACTTTGCAAAAGGCACTAGCAAGAATCCTGCCCTCCTTCCTCTGGGATTATGACCCTCTGACTTTGGAGCAGTACTTGCTCAAGGGTAGGGCTTAGTGCTAAGAGCTGGAGATAGATCCAGTTTTGCTGCCAGCTTTACAAGCTTAGGCATGGCAGTGATTCTTGGGACTTTAGTTTCTGCATTTGTAAAACAAAGAGCCAGCAAGTTTCAGGCGCCACGTGCTCCCTGGCAGGGCTGTACAACAGCAGCATAGTGCTGGTACTTGTCTAGGAAAGGCAGGAGTAGCACGTTGCGCTGCACGCCAGGTCTAATGGGTCACCCCTTTGTTGCAGGAAGAGATGTCAGGAGAAAGCGTGGTGAGCTCAACAGTGCCAGCAGCCGCCACCCGCACCACCTCTTTCAAAGGGTCCAGTCCCAGTTCCAAGTATGTGAAGCTGAACGTAGGCGGCGCTCTCTACTACACTACAATGCAGACCCTGACCAAGCAGGACACCATGCTCAAAGCTATGTTCAGTGGCCGCATGGAGGTTCTTACTGACAGTGAAGGTAAAGAGAGAACTGTTCACGTTGCTGACAGCCATGTGTGTCATTTTTTCTAGGGATAACAGAACTTAGTTTGGCACAAGCATTAGGAAGTGAATGCATCATAGTCTTAGAGAAATCTATGGCTAATTTTGACTGTGGCTAACAGTCTGTACCTCTGAGAAAAGACACAAAACTGGCTTCATAGAAAGTTGCAACTTTCCCTTTCTCCCCATTATTCAGAGGACAGTAAAGTCCCATGGTCCTAGTCAAGCACCATTTTTCCAACTTCTAATCTACTCTTAAGTACTTCAGTTCTATGGAAAAGTGCTATGTTGTGGCTAGAACAAGGGATTAAGAGTCAGAATTTGCTTTTTTAGTTCAATTCCCAAACATTAATTGACGTGTCTAATTTCTTCTCCTTTACTACGAGGCTAAAAAAAACTTTCCTGTTGGAGGCTGTGAACCTTGGTATGGGTAAATCCCTTCTGAGATCCTTGGATGAAAGGGTGCTGTCAGGGGCAGACAGGTATTTCAGGCAGACGGCCACTACTGAGTTCTGGCAAGCCTCGAGGGCCACATGATGGGCAGCCAGGGGCAGATTATTTTTCTAAATTTTTAGGGGCCCCACGGGCTGGATAGAATGGCCTGGTGGGCTGCATTTTTCCCACCCCTGCGTAACTTCATCTTACTTGCAAGGGTATTTATTTTTGGATTCTAGAAAAGAAACCAGGGAAGCAGTAGGACGTGGCATTCGGCTTACTGACAGCAGTGTGCTTACTAATGCACGTAGACCAGAGCAGCCAAGCAAAAACCTGCAATTAATCTGTAGAAAAGCTAGTGAAGGAGTCTCTCTCTCTCTCTCTCTCTCTCTAGATGGGTTTGATTATAGAGAACTTGGAATGTGCATAATTGTGCTTTTTCAAAAGACTGTTCTTCAAACTGACTGACTTTCTTCTGAAATATACCTACACCAACCTTATAAAGCTTGCTTTTTTTTTTTTTGGTTAGATGTATTAATTAGTTTAGGCTGCAAAGTTTGTTAATAGCTGTTCAGAATATAAGGCCCCATCTTATATCAGCCTTCCCAAATTTAGGAGTATCACTGTTTGCCATTCCAAAAACAGTTCTCTCTTTGGGTGTTGCAATTTTGCGCGCACACTGGCCACATCTACACAAGATGGTGACTGTGCGGTAGCTTGTTACTGTTGTGCAGTAGCATTGCGTGGCGCAAAGTAATGAGTTTCTGCACAGTCAGCATCACCTAAAAGCCGTTCAGTGACGCTACTGCACAGTAACTCCGGTTACTGTGCAATCATTTAGTACTTGTGTCTGCAGTCTCATGTAGATGTGGCCTCAGACTGTTTTCTTGTTTGCATGTTTGGACTGATGGTCTTTATCCATAGTTTATTAGCAGACTGATCTTAGGAGCTTTCAACCTCCATTCTGCTGGTGAACATATTTATGTTTGAACATGTCATTTCAACTGGTCCAAAGCCTGGGTACCCCTTGGCCAGAAGATTTCGACCTGGGTTTTCAGTGCAAAGACTTCTCGCATTTAGAGCTGGTGAGAAGTAAGCAGTAGTTTTGACAGAGCCCTCATATAACATTCTCCTGTGAGAGGTGGTGGTGAATTCATGGATAACGTGCGAGAGGGGCAATATCATTTAATTTAGACATTGCTATTTTAGATAGAGTGCTTACCTCTATGCAGCCGGGGAAACAAGTTTCAGTTTTTACATAGCGTTTTTGTAAGTTTTCAGGTATTGAGTAGAATGAATGCTAAAGGATATTGCCTAGTCATAAATAATCAGATGTCTCTGGAGTGGGACATAGTGAGAGTTTAATGGTACAGAACATTGCTCAGAAGCTTTAGGATAGGGACTGAGGAATTCCCTTTCCCATGGGGAGCACAGAGAAATCGTAGGTGAGTAGATGGGCTATAACTATCCAAATTAGCTACAATTATTGCAAAGTCTCATGGAAGTTTACTTACCGTGGGGCTGTTATTACCATTCCTCTGAGAGACTCTATGAAGCAACACAACTGCCAACACCACAGTGGAGCGCTGATTCAGTACGGATTGTGCGGAAAGAATGCCACCTACTCAACCACTTACTTTCACTTAGGAGACAATACAATACTGCAACGTACCAAGCACGGTACAGCAATCTAGTCGTTCTGCAGCAGTGGTGAGGATTTCAGCAGTAACAAGTGTAATGCTGCACTGAAAGAACCAAGATAATAGCAGCGTTTGGCACTTCCATCTTGCTGTGCAAATGCTGTTTCCCCAGGTCCCTCAGGGAGAACGCCTTGCCTGTGTTACAGATGAAGAAACAGACCCGGAAGCTAAGTTTCTTGCCAAAGGGCAGAGTGATGTGAATAACACTTGGGACTTGATTTAAATAGCCACTTGCACTGCTCACTTTCTGATAAATGGTGTCAGATGCATGGTCTCAGTGCAGAATGCTAATACCATGTGTCCTTAGAATATGGACTTGGCTTTTCTGTGAAGGGACACATTCACTTTCCTATCAGGGCAGGAGTTGAAATTGATATCGTTAAGAGGAGCATAAAGATGACTTGAAGTGTACTAAGTTTTGGCTGTAAGATTTGTGAATCTCAGTCCTGTTGTGAAAATGCCTCATTTGCTAGTCGGCGCTCGCGTTTTACTGGGACCTTAACACTACTTATTTTATATTTCATGCTGCAGTAGTTCATACTTTTATCTTCCACTCCCTGGAATTTCTTGGGAGTGTATTTGGAAATCGGGACAGTAGCAACAGAGCTATAAAGGAAGGCACTCTTATCTGAAAGCTTTTGAAATATTTGTATTCGGTCACACCCAAACTGGTACAAATAAGTGTGTTTCCAGGAAGAGCAGCTCAACTTGAAGAATGTGGAAAGAATGAGGGAACTTATTTAAACAAGCTGTGGCATCTTTCACATGGAAAATCCTCCTGTTTCTTTGGCTCTCATTGCCATCACTTAGGCTCTTCCCTTACCTAAATAGAAATATACTTCTCAGCCCACAGGAGAAACTGCCCCCATTCTCTGGCTGTGCTTGGCAGGTGCCTCCATTTAGTTGGCAGGTTTGATTGCAACCATGACAAATCTGCATCTTACTGCTGCGGCAAGGTAGAAGAAAGGCCCTTTGTGGGAGCATGCTCTCTCCTCCCAGAGTTCTCCAGTGAAACTAGTTAGTCCCCTGTGTGTCGTCCCCCCTGCCAGCCTTCTGCACAGCATTTGAGAGAAAATATTTAGCCTCATCTACTTTAAGAAAGAGCACTCCAGGTCTCTTGCCTTCAATGCCACAGTGCTATTTTACTTGTTCAGCCTTGGCCAGAAGGTGTAACTTGCTTTGGTTTCAGTATGTGGGTGCCATCTTCGTAGAGCAGATTAAATTCTCATCTTTCTTAACAGTCTAGTATATCTTTATTATACCATCTGGGGATATTAAGCCCTGCCTGGAGTGGATGCATCCACAGGCATTTTTGTATTACAGTGATTAAAACTCAGCTGTAAAGGGCTACCAGTGAAATCTGCTTTTCCAGTTCTGCCTGGGTCAGACTGAGTGGCAGTTGGCCCCCTTCTTATGCGTTAGTCATTGCCTTTAGGCTGTGTGTTGAAGCTAGCTGGACAGAACAAAAGCTCTTGTGAAGTCACTCTGATGGGGTTGCTATCTATCTCGGAGCTTTCTCTGTATTTGGCACTGGAAACTCTCTCTCTCGCCCTCCCTACCACTGCTTGGGGGCATGGGGAAGTTAGCACTCCTCCAGGCTGCTGGGAGGAAAAACCACAGCAGAAGTTGGCTTACCCAGTCTGCAGGAGGCATCACAGTGAGCTGGGAACTGAGGAGGTTTGGGATCCTAGCTCTATGCTCAGGACATGCCCCTTTTCCATCCCTAGATGCTTGTGTTACCAGTTGTTTAGCCCATTGTAGCTCTGGGCTTTGGGTAGATGACACCTTTGTTTACTGCCTTGTTTTATGCACTCCTCCGCCTTTTGGTGGCATACCGCTACTTGAGGTATCTCTGCATGGGACAAAGATCCTCACTTCTGCTGCAGCCAGATATTGTGTTTACTGTAGTGTAGATGGCAGTGCTCCAAGACAACATGTTCTTTCATCCTTTCATTGGTTTGCGACAAGTCTACATTGCCATCCTGGCTCCCTGCAGTCCCTATGGACCCAGACCCTGACCTCAGCCTTACATCTACATTAATAGCTGTGGAGGAAAAATGCATGGAAGAGTCCTGCTGGAGTCTTACTAATTAGCTGAACAGCAGGCAAAGCTTATGCTGCACCCAAAGCATTACCCAAGTAAATTGGGGTTTACTTGTAATTCCGCTCATTTAAAACATCCGGTGTGCATTTTCCCTGCTTTCCCTTATTTGTCCAAAATATGAATCCTTTCCCACAAGTATTTCCTTAGTGCATTCCTGAGTCCAAGCCCATAAAAGGCTTTTTTGATAGTTTGTGGAAACTTGAGCCTCCAGATTGCATAACACCTTTCAGGGTTCATTTGGTCCAGTTCAGGAGAGGCCTGGGTATTAGAGGTGAAACACTGACACACTGTTCACAGACTTACACAAGGAAAAGCACTCTGGTTCTTGCTGGAACTCTTCTCATCTCCATTAGTACTCCTGGCAAATACTGCTACAAAGCGTTCTTGTCAGCATGAGAGTGCCTTTCATCTCTGACCTATGGGAATTTTAGAAACAGGCTGCTGGTAGTTAGTTCAGTGCCGCTCTTCTGGTTCCATGCTGGTTGGACACTAGAATGGGGATGAAAGGGATACAGCCCAAAATCTGGAGCATCTGCTAGTTGGTTTTCCCCTTCCTCTTCAGCCTTCATACGTGGGGGAGGGGTTCATTTCAACCCACATCTTCCCATGCTGCTGTTAAAAGTAAAGCTAGGGCAGCAGTCAAGTGGTCCCCCAAGTGTCTGGGCATGGGGTAGGCAAAGCACTTCTTCAGCATCCAGGCGTGGGGCAAGAAACGCATGTTAATCTGTGTTGTGGGAGGGGGAGTCTGTCACAGAACAACACACAGTTCCAGTTGGCTTAACCATTCATCAGTGCTCCTGAAGCAGGGAAGCTGTAGGCCACCAGAAACCTGGGTCTAGGAGCTGTGGTGGGGCACCAGGAGTCCAGACTCCCAGGTTTCTTTTCCCGTGTCCATTCTTGACCAGCCATAGCTTCCACAGGCTCCGTCCAGCTGGCGAGTCTTCTCTTCTGCCCCATTCAGGTATCTTCTCAGCCGCAACCGTACAAAGTTGTCCTGGTAGCTGTTTCTGTGGGAGGTGGCATGCTGGGTGGAGAGGGGAGCAGGCGAACAGCTCCACAAATGGAGGCAGGATTCCAGGGGAAGGAATGTGTGGATACCATAAAAGAAACAGATCCCAGCTGCTTGGTTTGAGGCGAGCAGCTACTGATGTTGTCACTATTTCAGTTTTAGCCATTCACTTGCGGCTGGGGAGCTGAAGGAAACAAAATGAGCTTCCTGCCTCCCCCTACGCACACACACTTAAACGAGTGTGGGAGATGCAGACAGAGCAGATTCCCTGTGCAAGTGCAGCCTGCTGCTGGGCTGGTTGCCAGCTCGGGCAGAGAGCTGGGATTCTGGAGTCAGTCACCCGGCAGCCTCCAGTGCAAGCCCCATGTGAGACCCTCCTGTCCATCATGCTGCAGCACATTGTGCCTACATCCTAGCCAGCTGGCTTCTCAGGCCAAGGAGGGTGAGGGATTTTGCCAAGCTCTCCCTTCCTCCTCTCCAGCTGTGCCCCACTTTGTCCCTTCCCAGGCTGGATTCTGATCGACCGCTGTGGGAAGCACTTCGGAACCATCTTAAACTATCTGCGTGATGGAGCCGTGCCGCTTCCCGAGAGCCGCAGAGAGATTGAAGAGCTGCTGGCTGAGGCCAAGTACTACCTGGTCCAGGGTTTGGTGGATGAGTGCCAGGCCGCCCTGCAGGTAGGTGTCAGCCTCCTTACTATGGGGCTAGTGAGGAGTCCTGGCATCAGCCTCAGCTGCTTGGAGGCTCAGTCCCCTCCACCTGTTCCATCAGACCCCCTTCCTAAGTGGGTGGTGCTGAGGGAAACTGGCTGCTCGCTTGGGACCATTAATGCTTCCAAGTCCTTGTTCCAACCCTCTGTTGACTGAGCTTGTCCACATGGCAGGGTGCTACTTGGCTGTATAGTGCATGGCTCCTCTCCCATGTGCAAAGGTGGTTGGGCTTTGTCATCGCTGCATCACTTTTCCACATAGCGCTGGGTCCTCAGAAGATATTTCCATGCTAGGAAATAATGTATTGATCCTGGCAGGCTGAAAGAGAAAGCACATGGAGGAGGGAGCAGTGGAAAGGGAGGCGGATGGTGGTATCCTGTCTCAGGAGTGGTTGCTATTTTGAGCTTATGGCATTGAAGTGTTGTAGCAGCAGACTGGATACAGGAGGAGAGAAATACACAGTCTGTGCTCTGTAGGTGGGTGAGGAGCATTGAGGGACATTTAAAATGCTCAGATGTTAGCTGAGCAGAACCCCTCTGTCTTCTGTACATGAAGGAAATGCCACTGGCTTGCATCCTCCCAATATGGAGGAGCCCTGAGCAGACCCACAAACTACCAGTTACGTCTCTTGACAGCACCACCCTCTTTCCGTAATGGAAACCCAGCATAAGCTAACAGCTGCTCCCACTCTTCTCCAGCTCCCAGCTGGGTGCGCACAGGCTGACTGGTCACAGGGCTGGGTCTCTGGCTCTTCATGGTATTCAGGGTATTCATGATCCCTCACTGTCTTCTCCATGTCTTGCATGAAGAGGCCTGGCTTTCAGCCTTCTGTCACCTGTATCTCCAGCATCATCCAGAGCAGAAGAAGATGGTGGCATAATAAGATTTGTATTGTGTGGCCGCATGTCTCAACTGCAGGGTGACTCTGTTAAATGCAGAGCAGACAAGCCCTCCCAACCCTCCCTGCAGCAGTTATACTGCGGAAAAAGAAAATGTCAACAGGCTAGAAAAACTCACATAAATGAAAGAGAAGTCATGACACATGACCCCAGAAGCCAGCGCCTTAGGCACAGGTAGATAGAACCCATGAATTAACGTGGTTCTGGGCATAGGGCCCAGTTTCCCAAAGACACCACAGCAGTCTCTCTTACGGCTCCTCCCCTCAGTGGGCAGGGTTGAGATGGGAAGCAGCAGGTAGTGCCCCCATACCCTGTTGTGTCTACGGAGAGGCAGGCTACTGCCAAGCTCCAGGAGATGACGAGCCACTGCTCTGGCTAACAGCAGGCTTCAGGATGGAGGAAGGCCCTGACATCAGCTTCCTCTCATTGCTGGCTTTGTCTCAGCAGAACAAAGACGCGTATGAGCCCTTCTGCAAGGTGCCAGTCATCACATCTTCCAAGGAAGAGCAGAAACTCATAGCAACATCTAATAAGGTAAGGAGGCATGGGCTGGGCCATGTCCCTGCGGTGGGGGGTGCAGGCGCAGGGGGGGGCTCTCCCTTACCATTGCCAGGCACTCTGGAGCACAGTAGTTTAATTCCACAATGATACGTGCTCAGCTTGAGCGCTCCACGTGAATCAGATATCAGATGCCACTAAGCCAGGTCTAAACAAAATAAAGGGAATGCAGAGGGCAGGCTGATGTAAGGGTTCCGTAACGGGATATTTCAGAGCCTTTCATCTGCTTTACCAGCCCAGGCTGGGAGGGGCTGGCACTTACCTCAGACAGAATGAGTTGGCAGCTCCTGTTTCTAGTAGCTGATCGCCATGCTGCTCCTGGCAGAGACGGAAAGGACAGCAGAGAATGAATTCTGACCCCGTCCTCCCAGCAGGGAAGCACTCTCCAGGCCTGATAAGAGATGACTGTTGGGAAAGCTCTTGCTGTTCCTATCTTGGGGATGAACAGAAACCTGCTTGAAGGGATGTTACTTGAGCACCTTTCCCCAGCAAAATGTCACAGCACTGAACTCACCTCACAGCGCACACATCTTTCTCTGAGTAGACCCCCAGCTGTACTGTAACTGTAGCCAGTTAAAAATTGCTCTAACCATGCTTTCTCTCTCTGCAGCCAGCAGTGAAGTTGCTGTATAACAGAAGTAACAACAAATATTCCTACACCAGGTAAAGTCTCCTGACTTCAACTGTACCAACCATTTCCACTGGGATTTTTAAAAAAGTGTAAAATCAGATTCACGGAGTGGCAGTTGCCTTCCCTTTGCTCAGAGCCAGTCAACAGTATTGTTAATGGGCAGTGACTGCTTTTTCCTCCCCACGTACTTCATGGATTCACTGTTAACTAGCTTAAGAGGGAGTGACCGTTCCCCAGTTAAAAGCTACTGACAACATATAGTTTAATTGGGAACCAGCTGCCTCTAGTACACTCCGGTGTTGACTTGTGTCCTCCATAGACCATTCACCACTGTCATGAGACCTGGCAGAGCCCTTTGACCCCTGGCTAGCTGCCAACATGCTTCTGAGCGAGGCAGTTTTATAACGGCTGATAAAAGTCAGGGTTGGTCTTGTCTTTGTCCATATCAGACTCACGTCATGTGTCACAGTCACAGCCCAGCAAATGCTCAGCTTGAGCTGAAAAAACGTTTTAGTTAGGATGATGGCTTTTCATACATAAGTACAGTGTCCTTTAGCAATATTACGCAGAACCCCTGAAAGCCAGCCTTCAGCAGGAGGCTTTCCTCTGGTCCTAGGGGCATGTCATTCACTACTGCATGAGAGCCCTAGAAGCAGACCTTTAGGCATCCACAACCATTAATTGCCCTGAATCCTCCTTTCTGCCTGGACTCTCACTGAGGCTCTTTTGGTGTTACACAGCAATTCTGATGACAATATGCTGAAGAACATTGAGCTGTTCGATAAGCTGTCCTTGCGGTTTAATGGGAGAGTCCTTTTCATAAAGGATGTGATTGGAGATGAGATTTGCTGCTGGTCTTTCTACGGGCAGGGGCGGAAGATTGCTGAAGTCTGCTGCACTTCCATCGTTTACGCTACTGAGAAGAAACAGACAAAGGTAGGCAGGAAACCCACTAGCGCTCACTAGCAGCTGACTTCCACTATCATCAGACTGGCCTATGGCCTTCTGGTTTGAGGACTTTCTTTAATACCCTAGTCTCCCTGGACCATCACAATGTCTGGTAAAAGGGAGAGGGTATAAAACAGGACAATCAAACCTACCACTGTTCTTTGGGGAGGGGATTTTAGCTTGTCGTGGCTTGCACAACAGGGTCCTAATCTGTCACAGAGCAGATAGACTGATCTCTGAGCCCAGTCATGCACTCACTGTTTTAAGGTTCCTGCGTAGAGAATTTATGAAAAGCAGTAGCCTTCCATTCACATAGGGTCTTACCTATTCAGAGAGGATCCTGCTGCTGTCTGCCCCTTAGGCAGTAATGGCTAAGTTTGGAGGATACCAGCTCTTGCATGCCTGAGGTGAAAGCCAGCAGAAGTTCAAATATAGCTGCTGAAAAGAGTTCCTCTTAACATCTGATTTTTGCTGGATTTCACACTCAGTTCAAAGTACTGCTATCCCCAGAGCCTGCAGAGGGAGAGAAAATGTCAGAGCTGGGCTGAAGTTCAGACCAGCCAGCAAGGTGGATCTCACCTCTCCTAATCTCTGCCTGTTCTGGGTGTCCAGGTGGAGTTCCCCGAAGCTCGCATTTATGAAGAGACGCTGAATATTCTGCTCTACGAGTCTCAGGATGGCCGAGGCCCTGACAACGCCCTGCTGGAGGCCACGGGTGGGGCAGCAGGCCGCTCCCATCACCTGGACGAGGACGAAGAGCGGGAGCGCATCGAGCGTGTGCGGAGGATCCACATCAAGCGCCCCGATGACCGGGCGCATCTCCATCAGTGAGCTGAGGGACAGGTGCAGACTGCATGGCTCCGTTTGCACAGCTGTGGCCTGACCTGCGACGGAACCAGGCGTTTTATTTATGTTCAGTGAAATCTGCGGGTTCCATTTTGTAATGGGAGGAGACGGCCGGGGGTGTTTAACAGGATGTAATTCTGTTAGAGAAATGAGGCATTGGGCACATGATCAGCCTGGTAATGCCGTATCGGAGCACTTGGAAAATGCCTGTAAATTCATAGCACTCTTTTCTACTGTCTCATATTTAGGAAGGAAGAGTGACTCCCTTCTGCTCTTAGTATTTATTCTGCACTTTTCCCTGGGATTTTCAAAATGACAGCCCAGCTGTCTACAAGCTCCACGTTTGTCCTAGCCCCAGAACCTAATATACAGGAACAGTGCAGCTCTCCACCACAGTAAAGCTAACCCAGCTGCTTTGCTCTAAGGTGTCCTGGCTGGACCCTTAAGGCAACAAGGTAGTGGGCTAGTAGCTTCAGAGGGCATCAGCCTTTCAGTTCCATATCCTAGAGAATCCACCTGCTTGCTGTGGTACTGCTTTAGAACCAAAGCTGGCTGGCAGGTTCCAGTAAGCACGTGTAGGGACTCTGCTGTTAAGTACTGAGAGCTAATCTGTCTAACAAGCAACTGAAAAGCTGGCCAAGGCACAGCATAGCTTCTCTTTTAAACCTGACTTATAGTGGTTCTATGAAGCTGGTGCCATAGCGAGTAGTGGAGAACCCTCAACTTTCCTGTAGCTGCAGTTAAAGGATGCGGGCTGTTTAAACTCCTCGGTGAGGGGAGGGTTTGAGGAACAAGCTATACTTTACCGTCTTGCCTTAGGTGTCCCTTGTATCGGCCAGAGCTGGTCACTGCTAGATGCTTTCCCCCTCTTGACCTCAGAGCGGAGTTTGTGTGTTCATGCTAGGCCACTGCTTCCCCACCTACTCCCAGCTCAACCACAAAGGCTTCTTCCCACAGCCGCCCTGGGCAGAGCTGCAGCATGGACTGCCAGCCCAGCAGGAGCCTCTCGGACTGGAGAGACTCCCCTTGGGAAGTGGTGTAGATGCCCCTTTCGGTGTCTTGTGGACCATGTGCAGTTATTCCTAGTCAGTCCAAATCTCCTGGGAAGCAGCAGCTGTGTGAGGGGGACAGAGCTGAAATCCTGTGTATAGAATACTGCATAGATCTAGTTTTCTAAGATTGCTCTTCTATTGCAAATGAATATTTTATCTACCTCCTAGTCTCTTGTTGCCTATTATGGAGTCAAGTAGCAATTGTAGTGAAATGTCATGTATTATTCAAAGGAGTTGGAAATTGAGGGATAAGAATAGGATTATAATGGCACCTACTGCTTCAGAGCTCAAAGCCAGTCCCTACTGGGCATGGGGGCCAGACCTTCTAGGGAGGAAGATCAATAGACATCTGCCTCTTGTAGAGTCTCTTTCACTGGAAAGATCTGGTGCTGACCTCTGGAGACAGGGATCTGGACTAGATGGACCACAGAGCTGATGCAGTGCAGCACTTCCTCCCACCTTGTTCCCCCGTAACCTGGTTAGCAGGAGGTTTGATGAAAGCAAGGGTTATACAGCGAGATAAGGGTGTGCTTGGTTCCAGCAGAGTTGGTCATGAAGTGATGTGTTAGCATTTGAAATACCAAAGGCAGCGCTCACCAGCTGGCATCACCACAGAAATCCTTAAACAGTCCCGCCCGCTCACAGAGAGTAAGCATTCAGCCTTCTCTGTGACGGGTGGTACAGCTCCAGGCATAGGTTTAAAGAGTTTGCAGACCATTTCCATCAGCCAAAGAATTCAAGTGCCAAACCAATACTATCCTCCTGGCAGCTGTGTGTATAACATCTGTCTCAGTCCTCATGCATCACTATAAGCAGTGTCTGAATTAGACATCAAAGTTCCTGTGACACAGACTAGTCTCAAAACCAAGCAGAGTGAATTATAATCTAATTAAACTGCTTAGCATTGTGAGTTATCACTTTGTAACTTCCAGTCACAGGCTTCATTAAAGTGCAGTCATATCCGTGCCATGTGTAATGCTGTAATAAGTCCCCAGAGAAGGCCTCACTCCTCACGGTAGATGGTTTGCTGCCAGTACAGCGTGCATTCCCGATTTCTGGAAGTCGCATCGAAGCCCCTTTCCTTCTCCTGTCTCAGTTGGTCTCGTTAAGTGAGATGCCATGAGATCATCCCATTTTATTTTTAGTCTTGTGCAGACAGAACCCCCCCCATGCTCACAAACTTCAAGGTTGTGCATTTATCAGACTGCATGCTCCAAGCTGGGCCGTGTGTATGAGTCTGGTGTTTCCTCATTGGCCAAGCGCAGAGCTCATGAACACTAAAAGGGGTCACAGTGTTTGCTGTTAGAGCTGGCCAGGCACCAGCCTTGTGGCCACACAGCCTTCATGCGCTAGATAAGCCACTAGCATGAAATCTGCCTTTGCGCCTTGCTCAGTGTCTTTGTCCCAGGCTGCTCACATCCCCACAGGACAGCAAATTCCTTCTCATGCAACAATGGGTGTATTTAACCAAAGTGTGTGATCAGCACTTAGAGCAAGGACTAAACCCAGGCTCCCTCCACCTCCCACGTGAGTGCAGTAACCGCTGGCTCTGGGTCCATAACCTTCATCGTCTACTCTGGTACGGCTTCAAGAGGGGATGGAGAGTGCTGCCACCCTCACCACAGATAGCCCAATGGTTAAGGCACCCCCCGGTGGGGATTCGCCCTCCTCAGGCTGAGGCAGGAATAGAGCCCAGGGAGAGGCTGACAAGGAGGCTGCTGCTCTCTGCTCTGTTCTGGGGAAGAGAAGCTGACACTTACCTTCAGGAGAGGCATCAGGGTCGGGATCCCAGGCCAATCAGCAGGATGCAGGGCTGGGGCTTGTCCTCAGTGCTGAGCATTGGCCAGCTCCAGGCAGCCACACCTGCAGCTTGCCAGCTGCGGCAGGTCCTGTTGCGAGGTACATGACTGCACATGCACAGCATAGGGCGCCTGGGCTCCCAACACAGGCCACTGGCTTCCACTGCAGAGACCAGGCACCTGCAACTTAGGCATTTCATCCCCTTAAGTGTTTCCCCTTTAAAGTTCCTACCTGTGCAGTCTGTAGGAAACAACAGCCTTGAGCTTCCTGCACTGCTTTCTTCTTCCAGTCCTTTTGCTCCTGCTCCGTGGCAACATAACCTCTCGCCCTCCCAGGGGAACACTTTACTGCTGGTGTAGATCCTACGCCAGGATCTACACCAGCAGTAAACTAGGCTTCTCCAAGCCTAAAGGGTGAAGGCTTTTTCTGCAAGGCAGGTTGCAAGTTAGAAGCAAGCAGCGAATTCCTGAGGGTCATTCAGTGCCTGCTTGTTGCTGCCTTAGCTGCGTAGTACAGCCTGAGTGTCGTCTCCTGTCCGAGAGGAAACCCGCAACATTTGATTGCATCTGATAATGGAAAGGAATTGTGACTCAGTGCCTGTGCTGACAGGTGCTGGAGAGCAGCCCCTGTTTGTAGTACGGGTCTGTTAGAAGGTAGAAGTTACAAAGAGCCTGGTGGGTCACAGCCTCGAACTCAGCTTGACCAGTTCAGCTGCTTATCCCAGCCTACAGTTGGTCAGCCAGACTGGTCAAAGCTGTCCCGAAGCCTCCAGCAGGGCCTAGCCTGAAGGACTGATCCTTCAGTTCTCCACGTTAAACCCCTGACCCAGAACAGGAAGTGTCCGAGCCGCAGGACTCAACCTGACCCCAGCCTGCCTTGCTGTTCCCTCTGGCTTGTGCTCCCACTTCACTGTCTGCTTGATCTGCCAGCATCTCGACCCTGCTTGCTCCCTGTCTGCGCTTTCTGCCTGATCCCCTGGCTCCTGACTTGGCCTGTTCCTAGACCCTGTTCTCCAATCGACCTCCTGACCCGGCTTGTGCCTCCCCACCCTGGTCAGCACCTCGATTACTGAGTGTCCCCTGACTTGGCTGCCCACCACCTTGCATGGCAGAGTCTTGATTGCACACAACGAAGAATCAGTTGGGCCAGGGTGGAAGACCAGCAGTCCGTGTCCCTAGCTTGTACACACAGCCTGAAGAGCAGGGCAGCGCCTTGCTGAACACAACACATTACACACTGAGAAGTCAGCTTTGGGCAGGTTTTGCTGCACTTGTGAACATTAGACCAGACTGCTGGTCTCGGATGTTTTCAGGGCCATCACGCAAAGCATCCTTGCTTTGACATATTAAGCTGTACTTTCAGCAGCTGCCTCCCCGAGGTTTTGCCTCCATACTCACACAATGAATAGGTTGCAACACAACCAGGTCCTTTTTAGAGACTGTCGCCCCTTGCAACCTGAGCACCTAGCAGCTGCAAAGGTGTGGCATTAACAGCAAATGGAAACAGGCCCTCATTTCAGACCCAGGGTTGACACTTTCCTCCCCCTCCACCAGGCAGTAATACTGACAGCCAGCAAGTTGTTCTGGGAAGCGTTTTTGTCTTTCGAGGTAAAGAGCAGCAGCTTACAAAGCTGCAGCTCAAAGTGCTTTCAGGATAATGTCTGCACAGTGCTAAGTAGAAAGAGCGCAGCTCTTGGAAACAGTTTTAAAGCAGTTGGCACCCGAGCTAGCTACAGATGACTGCACAGAGCTCAGTGTAGGTGAGCAGCTCGCTTATCCGCCCTGGGTCCTCGGCAGGCTGCTGTAGCTAGTTTTAAAGCTTGTGCAAGTTTGTCAGCTGCATTTGCACTGCTGCTTAGCCGCACCCTCAGTTTCTAATCTTAGCTCTTCGCCGCATCGCTCCATTCCACAGGTTAGGCCAAGTGCGGCACTAATGAATTCAGCTGGTACAATCGGACCTCTCCACTCTGCACAGCTGTGCACCAAGAGCTTGTGCTCAAGTCCCGTGTACGGGTGGTGTTTGCAGCGTGGATTTTTCCATTCTTCTTTCGGCTAGATGCAAAATAAATCAGAAACGTTTCATATTTACCTCAGCGTGTCTCCTTCTTGTTCGGTTCAAGGTAAGTGCCCATCACCACGTCCGCTGGTGTTACTTTCTAGCACCAGCTGTAGCAGAACAGCCAGCACCCTGGCCCGCAGGACTCTTTCCCCTTCAGAGTGCATCCCCAGGACTTTGAGGCAGCAAGTGGCAGGTATTTCACATGGCTTCAGCTCATCCCAAACAGATTTTGGGAGTCTTTGGGTTTGACTTGAGCAAAGGCACTTTTGTCTCAACATGAGACAGCAAACCCCACTGGGGATACAGCTGTAGGGGGAGACAACCTCGTCTTCCCCCCACTTCTACACCTGCCATAGCACACACCCGTCGCCAGAACAGGGGCTGAGTACCCCAGCTGCCAGCAGCCGGGGTTGTTCACTTCTGCGGGAGTTCGGGAAGGGAATTTTACCCCATTGCAGGGAGACCCTCAAAGATGCCTCACCTGGGGTCACAGAACCATCTTGTTCAGAAACTTCCTATCAACCCAGCAGGTTTCAATGTCAAGCCAAAAACTTTTTTTTCACCTTTTATTTTCGTTACTGATTCCAGTGCCCCATACCTCTCACAGTGCACTGTGTATAGCCATTAGCATAGGAAGAAACAACATGGAGTTACTTCAATAGAAAAAACTTTTCCCTACCCTAGAAAGCAATTGGCCAGAAAGAAAGCTGGGCATGTCAATGTCCCCAGCTGTGCAACCTCATCTGCTAAAATACTGATTCAGGTAACGAGACCTTTGCTAGCCCTTACCCTACTGCATTCAGAGAAATCTCTGCCCGCTCAGACTTGGTGGGATACTTGACTGTGCCAGCTTCGATGGTTGCCAGCGTTTCTGGGAGCGAGGGGGTTTCCAGCCCACGGTGCCAAGTTCCCTGATCTACCATTTGTGCTGTGCTCCTGTTCAGTACAGTAAATGGCTCAGGAGCAGTGGTTGGGGAAAGCCCTTTTTTTTTTTTTCTACCCTGAAAATCTTTCCTAGCTGGTTAAAGGTCTCAGCTTTAACCTCGTGGGTGCGTAAAACTGATATTTTACACATTTGAGAGCTTCAGCTTTTGGTTTCAAGCATTGCACAATTGTAGCGTGCATCTGTCCGACTACAACCCGTGTACACTGGAATGTGACAGCAACCCAATGGAATCTAGTTACCTAGAGCTGGATAAGCTCAAAGCTTAAAAAAGGAAATGGAAGAGCTTAAAAAGGCAAGTGAATGCTCAAGTCACAACAGTCCTGTGACCGCAGGAAATTCTCAGCCGCCAGACACAGGTGCTGATCCCATCCCAGGCTCCTCTCACAAGCAAAGATTGACAGACGGAACAGGGGGCCCAGCTTCCCATCAGGACCTTCCGCTGGTGGCCACCTGCAAAGAAAGGAATGAGCCATTTCTCAGCTCCTGGATTCAACCTCGGGCAGGGCTGTCTGGAAGCAGAACTACACTGCAATCACCTGCAGGTCTGGGGCAGCTACAGGCAAAGGCACAGCCACATCATAAGGTAGGTGTGCACGACTGGGGATCGGCACAAAGAGCCAAATAATGGACTGGTG